TGTCTGCTGTCATGATTCATGCAGCTATTATTTCATCCAAATGAAAAATGGAGAACAGATAAGCAGATCAATAATCTTTCATTCCTTTTGGGACAGCATGAAAAGTCAGCTGAGTACAAAACATAGAGAGGAAAAGAACAAGAAGAGAGGAACAAAACCTAGAACAAATAACGTATGTCTATTCTATTAAAATTTCTATATCTGTATAATAGATTTGTTTTATGAGTCGTCTTCTGAATTCAGAGGGCCCCCAGCCTCTTTTTGCCTAGGGTCCCAAATTTCCTAAATCCGCCCCTGTTCCCACTGCATTAGACGCTAACACACACTGAGGAGTCCAACTAAAGAAGGGGGATTACCCAACAGCTAAAATTTTATGGTGCATTCAAGGACAACTCGTACATTGGGCTGAAAAACTCATAAAGAATTCACTTTTTTATCCCAAAAAAAACTTTACATGAACTGTTTTCTTGCTTTATTGTAAAATCCATCCTCTCATGACTCTTTGTTGAAGTGAAATCATATCGAAGCATAATAAAGCAGGGTTTTAAAAAAAATTAACAGTTTGATAGCTTTATCGTTTCCAAATGTTTAATGCCGTCTACAGTACAGTCAGCCACCAATGGTTGGTTTCTCCAGAGTTCTAATGAGAAACATGTTGGCCTTTATGGTATTCTGAAACTGCTGGAAATAAGGGGAGAGTTCCCCAACATGAAACAAACCAAAACAAAAAAAACCCAGAGAGACAAGAGCTGAAATGGAAAATGGAAAGAATGGTTTGCCCTACTCATACGGAGCAACAATGGAGCCTGTTCATCGGAGGCCCGGTTCTGGCTGAAGCCAAGCCGCAGCCAACGCACTGGAAACGTCAGAAACCAGCTCTGTGTGTGGGTCGGCACCCAGCATTTCGTTCTCTGCTTGTCTGAACCCACAACCAGGAGGAAACAATCTCTCTGGGGCCACATGTTCAGAAACAGCCGCAGCTTCGCTTCAGGGAAGCTTGTTCTGCTGCTGTTCTCCTCCTTCCCAGCTGGACTTTCTCCCTGTGAGGCCAGTTAGGGTCACCCAGTCCGTCATCCCCATGAAGCTTTATGCTCATTGAATTTTATTGGAATTTAGGGGCAATTAGACCAAAAAGTGCAAAAAGACCAAAAATTAGACCAGATGAAAGTGCGCATTCAGCTCGGCAAAGAACTCATG